CTCTAATTATAAATAATGTTAAGCATCTCTTCATATGCTCATTTGGCATGTGTATATCTTCTTTGGTAAGGTTTATAGCTTTTGCCCATTTTTTCATTGGACTGTTTTTTTTTCTCCTTTTTTAAAATCCTCACCCAAAGTTATTTTTCCATTGATTTTCAGAGTGGGAGGAAGAGAGGGGGGCAGAGAGAGAGAGACATCAGTGTGAGAAAGACACATCTATTGGTTGCCTCCCGCATGACCCCGACCAGGACTGGGGATCGAACCTGCAACTGAGGTACATGCCCTTGACCAGGAATCAAACTCGCGACTCTTTGTTCTTTGGGTTGACACTCAACTGCTGAGCTAAACCAGCCAGGACAAATTGTTCATTTTCTTATTGTTGAGTTTTTTCTATATTTTGCATTCAAGTTCTCTATCAGACATGCTTTGCAAATGTTTTCTCCAGCTTGTAGCTTGTCTTTTCATTTTCTTAATTGCTGAATATTTATTTATTTGTTTATTTATTTATTTATTTATTTATTTATTTATTTATTTATTTATTTATTTTTGTGGTATGTGCCCCTAGTGGGAACCGAACCCGGGACTCTCTGGTCCGCAGGCCGACGCTCAACCTCTGAGCCAAACTGGCCAGGGCTGAATATTTTAAATAAAAAGAAAATCCTCCTGGTAGACTTTAAACATGCACCTGCTTAAAAACCATCAAAGGGTACCTATTCAAGGCTGCTGATTTGTGAATTAGAAATAGGGACTCCCTCTGGAAAGACCTAGAACCAGGCTGAGATATGTATTTGGATTTCACCTCCATCCATGCCCTTGGCTTGAGGCCTCTATGCAAGGCACAAATTGCACAATCAATTTGCAACAAGCCACATTGATCTTAAGTGTATCCTTACTGAATTTATAGGACCTTCCATGATAGGGTTCTTGCCTATTCTCCAGCCACATCTCATCCTCTACCTTTCTCTCTACACTTACAAAAGCCTTATCTCAGCAACTGGAAGGAGCTTTGCTTCCAGCCTCAAGATGTCCATGTTTCCTCTGCCAGTGTGACTTTTACGATGGACCCCCGTGATCCTCACACTTCCTGGTATTCTCAGCCTTGTGTGTCCCCATCCCCTTGAGGTGTGCTAGACCTTGTGACTTGCTTCTAATAAATAGAATAGAGCAAAAGTGGTGGCATCCGTTCTAATATTAGTTCGTAAGTTACTGTAACTTCTGTCTTGCTTGCACTCTCTCCCTTCCTCTCTTATTCCTTCACTCTAATGAAGCCAACTGACATGTTGTAAGCTACTTATGGAGAGGCTCATATGACAAGGAACTGAGGGGGCCTTGGGCCAACAGCTTATGAGGAGCTGAGGCCTCAGTCCAACAGTCTGCACAGAACTTAATCCTGCCAAAAACTACTTGAGTCATATTGGAAGCAGATCAACCCAATTGAGCCTTCAGATGACTTCAGCTCTAGTTGATAATTTTGAAGCCTTTTGAGAGATGGTGAGTCAGAGGATTCAGCTAAGCTGCACCTGGATGCCTGACCCCTATAAACTGTGAGATAATAAATGAATGTTATTGTTTTAAGCCACTGTGCTTTGGGGTAATTTGTCATGCAGCAATAGAGAGCGAATAGTCAGGAATATTCCCCTACTCACTTCCCACCTCTTTAATTGCTATGTGTCTTCAAGTCTCAGATTTCAATGTCACTTCCTCAGGGACAACTCCTTTCCTGACAATCCCCCACACTCGAGAAAGTCTTTGGTTATACATTCTCATAGCATTCTCTTCTCTTTTGCCACACAAGTCACCATTGCAATTAGTTCATTATCTGAGTATTTGTTTCCCATCTGTCTTCCCCTAAGATTCGCCAGTTCCAAGACAGAGCTGGCTATATTTTTTCCACACTGCATTCTCAGCATCAAACATGGTGCATAGCACAGAGTGGGGATATAGTAATTATAGAATGAAGGAAAAAAAAGGATAAACAAATGAAGGAATTGATAAATAAAGTACACTGAAGCCTTGCAGTTCAGAAAGAAGTCAAAGAAAGCCCAGTGCTCTAGTAAAGACAGCTATAAGTCTCACAATTCCCAGGCTATATTTTTTAAAATACCAAAAACAAGAAACAAAAATGAAACCATGTCAACATGTTCTAGATAAAAATTTGTTATGACAGAGTGATTATAACCAAATTCTCTACATAAATAAAAAGTCCGTCAAGGGTTAGCTAATAATCAGGATTTTGAAAAAAACTGCAGTTTAAACAGGAGTAACAGAAACTAACCTGGATAATAAACAATGAGAGCATGAAGACAGAGTAGGTTTAACAGAAGCTGCCCACACTACCAATAGGCTGGAGCTGGTGTTCCTCTGCTCTTGACCGTAAATCTGGGAAACGTATCCAGTTTTTTTCTGTGAAATGAATGAATTTCTAGCTAAATGTTAAAATGATTTTAAAGTTTGAGGATACCCTGTGGCCACAGAAAGCTAAATTCAGTCCAGTTGTTTTAGTTGGCTAAACTCCCAAAGGACTTTTAAAATGATAATATTATATAATCAGCAGCTCTGTCACTGCCTACCAAATAACATCCCATTCACTCCCTAGCTGGACATTCAGCTGAACCTTGCAGCCTGTTTTTATTTTTTTTAAATCTTCACCTGAGGATATTTTTCCATTTGTCTTCAGACAGAGTGGGAGGGAGGGAGGGAGGGAAGGAGGGAGAGAGAGAGAGAGAGAGAGAGAGAGAGAGAGAGAGAGAGAGAGAGAGAGAGAGAAACATCAATGTGAAAAAGACACATTGATTGGTTGCCTCCCGAATGTGCCCTGACCAGGGCCGGAGACCAAACCGCAACCAAGGTACATGCCCTTGACCTGAATGGAACCCACAACTCTCTGGTCTGAGGGCCAATGCTCTAACCACTGAGAAGCTGGCTCCTGTGTTTTCACTGCACCCCTTCATGTACATCGTGCTCTTGCCGTTCTTCAGTCACAGGGCACTCTTTTCCTTCTCTGCCTTTGCACATGCTCTTCCTCTAACTGGAAGTCCCCCTTTAGTGCTACCCGGTCCTTGCAACGCCAAATTCAAATCAGAACACTCATGGTTCCCCCCTGGAAGTGATTGCTCTTCTGCTCTCTCCTCTCAGGGTATTCAGTGTTTACCTCTTTTCTGGCCTCTGTCACATTCTATATTGTTTGTTTTCTTAATCCTCACCTGAGAATATCTTTCCGTTTATCTTCAGATAGAGTGGGAGGGAAGGAAGGAGGAAGAGAGAGAGAGAAACATCAATGTGAGAGAGACACATCGATTGGTTGCCTCCTATGTGACCCCGACCAGGGCTGGGGACTGAACCGCAACCAAGGTACGTGCACTTGGCTGGAATCAAACCCGCGACTCTTTGGTTTGAGGGCCAATGGTATAATCACTGAGCCAAATCGGCCAGGGCTCAATATTGTTTTGTGAGCAGGTATGTATTTTACTCTTCCTTTCTACTACCCAGACCTGGAAGATATGGTCTCTGTCTTGATGATCTTTCCCTACATAATCCAACACAAGGCTTTGGGTGGAGCAGGGACTCAATCCATATTTGTTGTTAAATGAATAAATAAAAGAATTAAGGAAACATGTTAAAAGGCTTTCAAATAAATCAGATATGCTTTGTATCTTTTCTTTTTTTTTAAATCCTCACCCAAGGATATTTTTCCACTGATTTTTTTTTTTAGATAGAGTAAGAGGGAAGGATGGAGGGAGGGAGAGACAAAAAGATACATCAATCGGTTGCCTCCCGCATGACTCAATCAGGACCAGGGATCAAACCCACAACTGAGGTACAATGACCTTGACCTGAGACTCTTTGGTCTGCGGGTCAATGTGCTAACCACTGAGTGAACCAGCCAGGGCTATACTTCATATCTTAATGCCAATAATAATAATATAACCATAGATAGAGATTTAATGTTTAAAATATTTAAGTTGCCTTTTTATAAAATTTTGTTTTCAAACATACCAAAGACACTTTGTCATAAAGCAAAAAGGAACTTAGAAATGAATAAACAGAATATTTCTTCACTAGTCCACTAGAAAACTGGCTAAATGTCCTAATGTGTTACTCTTAAATAGTCACATAGAAGCCAAAGAGGTAAATAAGTGACAAAACAAACTATTAAATATAGGAAAAGGAGCTTTTCAAGAGCTTTCTGGATTTCTTTAATAGTCTCTTGTTGAACTTTTAACAAAATAATTTGAACAATTAAAAAAGTTAATAACAACAAATATTAGTCGATGTAGTGAGTAAGTCAAAGTAGTGACTTAATTATAGGGACTTTATTACAGAAATGGAATAAGTGTTCTCATGACTAAGTCCAGTGTATCCTGAATCCTCATGTCACTTCTTTACATCAGAAAAGACTGTTTTGAAGATGATTTGATGTTTTCTTCTTGTTCAAGGGGGAGAAGAGTGTGGGGGTTGAACAGACATCGAGGCTCCCCCAAGATGCCAACTCTGTGAAAAGAATATTGGTATGGCTGAAGCAGTGAGGCCAAAGACTAAGGTGTACGGCTATGGTTGTGGCTGGACCTGTGGTTGTGTGTGTGTATGTACACGCAGCTATTTTGGGAAGTATTCCCTGTTTCCCTGAACCACCACTGTGGTCTTAAATATGGGTCCAAAAACTCAGCCCAATGCCAGATTTTGTGCTGGCCCTTCTCACATTTCCCAAAGATGATACTTCTAATGACAAAAACTTCAGCCTTATAAAGTCTGCTACTCACTCATCAAAATTAGAACTATCTGAAGTTTAGCTTAATGTTCTAGCAATGTTTTCTAGTCTACATGTACTAAGAGCTGCGGTGGGAAGGAAGTGGGTGGAAAGGAGCAGGGGTGGCTAGGAAGGTGGTGCATTCGTCTTTGTCCAGCTTTCTGGCAGAGGCACGGTGTGTGAGCCCTGTCCCTCCCGGCCCACCTAAGAAATGACACTCGGGACTCTCTTCTCTCTCTCCTTGGGCCACTTACATTGGCATAGGCACAAAGTCCACATTCTCCATATTCTCTTGCACCTCGGCTGAGAATTTCTTGCCTCCTTGATGATACTTTTTCTCAAGGATATTCTGAGCTTTTTCTCTGAGAGACGGTAGCAGAGTAGACATGACTGGAGAGCGCATGTTAATGGCTGTTTTAATCGCTGGGCGTTTTGCCATCATTCTCCTATGGGGGGAAAGGTGACATTTAGGTCACATCATCCTGTTTTCTAGAGCTTAGGAAAGTCAAAAGGTCGTACCTAAATTGTACAAATGTCATGCGTTTCTTTTGCCCTCCTGATTCTTCATCCTCGCGCTTCCTTCGAGGAATATTGAACATATTGGTACGAAAGAGCCTCCCTATTTCTTCCTCAATTTCTGTGAAGTGTTGACGTCGGAAGACAATCCAAGCTATGTATGTACAGAAAGTATAAAAGGACTACAACAAAAAACAGACAAGAATCACAACCCACAGCTAGGACGTGAAATACCTGCATCTGTCTACATAACACTGCTAACTAGGTGTAAACCCAGATGATCCAATTACTCAACGTTCCTAAAAGCTGTGGAATATTATACATGCATTCACCTTTGCAGGAGGGAAATCAGACCAAATATTCAAGTTGTGGTATATGATTCGTTAGCATCCTTTTGAGAAAAGACATTCACTATAAATAAGTACCTGACAGATGGCTTTTAGTTATTGCTGTACTTCATGTTTCATATAGAAGAGAAAAGCCCCCAAACATAAGTGACTCACCTCAAAGAATTTCCAGTCTTTTTGTGTATCTGACATTTTCTCCCTGCAATATAACAAATCACAACTATAGGATGAGAGGGAAGTTCCATATTTCAGTGATCTAGGCAAACCCTTATCTTCAAAAGGTCCCTTTGCAGGATCATTAGCTGTGGCCCCAAGACTATTTAGGCACATAAATTCTGTCAAAATGCACTGATAATGAGTCCCAATATCTTTTTCTCCAATTTCTTAGGTTACCTAGATCAAAACCCCTAGAATTCCATCAAAGGCTAATCAATATAAATTCAGGATAAACAAGCCAGCCAAGAAATGTATTCTTCCAAGCGTTACTGGTGATGTGAGTGCTGGGGAGGTGGGGAGAGTGAAAAGATGATGAAGAGGCGACATGAGGTGTTAGTAGGTACTGAAATAAAGCAACTAGAGGGTAAATCTAAAATGAAGAAAAAATTTAAAAAATTTTAAACATTGGTTATGGCCACTGGGTGCAAAAAGAAGTGGAGTCCTTGCAACACAAATGTAATGTTAAGGATCGTGTACTGGCATGGGCATACTTAGTGAATTTGGCCTCCACTCCCCAACACAGGCCATTCTGATTCCCAGCCTTAGGAAAGCAGGCATGGCCTGGGAGGACTTGAGAGTTGATAGAGAGGGCTGTGCACCTGTAGTTACCTGATTAGTCATGGGGATCAAAGCACTCCAGGGTTGATACTGGGTCTACTTTTGCTTTTGCTTGAGTCTTCTTTGGAGTAACTGACCTAGGATTGGCCCTGGTATCAGGCTCTGCAGAACCATCCTGAATTCCCATGGTCTGGTGAAGATGACCCAAACCCCTCAGGACCTTCAGCCTTCTCGCAGGGACTTCACGATCTGCGTGAGCCAAACTAGACCTCCGTTGTGGGGAACCACTGAAGAAATGGTTGAGCTTTCACTGAGGTGGGTCCCTCCCCTCCTACAGACTCTTCATTTACACACTGGTTTCCCTGTATACAAGTCTTCAACAAAGAATTAAGGCAATGGTAATTGCAGTGAACATTTACTGAATGTTGACTCTATGCCAAGTAATATGCCAAGCCCTTTACATTTATTATCATATTTGGTTCTCATCAGATCTCCATGATGCAGTCAGCCTTACAGTTGGGGAAACTGAAGTTGAGACTCAAGTCCAAAGACACATATTTAATTAGGGGTAGAGTCTGTACTAAAACTCAAGCCCATCAGAATTCCACATTTGCCCTCATAGCCAGAATAGAAGGGAAACATGCTTTTTCTTTAGAATATTTTGCAAAATAATTAAAAATATTAAACAGACAGAGCCCAGCAGAAACTTTTTGAGACAAACCTCAGCATCCTTCCATGCCACCCAGCTGAAGCTTCCGTCTAACAGGAGTGCTTATGTGGTATTTCCACCCTTCCACAGACTCTGCCAGCTGAAACCAGAGACCTCACAGACCTTCCAAGCTGAAGCGGACACCAGCCAAACTCTGTTTTTGGAGTACCAAGTCAGCTTGCATTCTGGCAGGTTCAGAGCAGTATTACATTGGCACAACCCAAACCAGCACCATCTCGACAAGGTTTTGAAATGACAGAGTAATTACCCAGGAAACACACACTTTCTCTCCTTTACTTTTCTTTTATTCTTCTTTTTTCAAACATTAGAAGAAAAGGTAGCATGGCCCTGGCCGGTTTGGCTCAGCAGTTAGAGAGTCGGTCGAGGACCAATGAGTCGCGGGTTCGATTCTGGTCAAGGGCACGTACCTCGGTTGTGGTTCATCCCCTGGCTCGGTCGGGTCGTGAGGAGGCAACCAGTTGATGTGGCTCTATCACATCAAATTTCTCTCTGTCTCGCTCTCTCTCTCTCTCTCTCTCTCTCTCTCTCTCTCCCTCCCTCCCACTCTATCTAATGATAAATAGAAAAATATCCTCGAGTGAGGAATAAAAAGAAGAAGAAAGAGAAGGAGAAGGAGAAGAAGGAGAAGAAAAGGTACCATGAACCTCCTTCCCTTTTCTTCGAGTTGCCATAAAACTGGGGGCTCTTGCCCTGACTGGTTTGGCTCAGCTACAGTGTCGGCCCACTGACCAAAGAAAGAGTCATGGGTTTGATTCCAGTCAAGGGCACATACCTTGGTTGCAATTCAGTTCCCAGCCCTGGTCAGGGTCGTGCGGGAGGCAACCAATCGATGTATCTCTCTCATGTCAATGTTTCTCTCTCCCTCCCACTCTGTCTGAAAAGAAATGGGAAAATATCCTTGGGTAAGGATTAAAAACAAAAAACTGGGGCCTCTCACTTAAAGACCAAAGGAAAATGATGTAGCCCACACCACAGTAATTAAGAACAGAATAAAGTGGGTTTCTTCTTACCATTCTTACTTAATTCTGCATATGAAACTAAACTGAGTCCAGGAAATGAAGGCAGAGAATGAGTACATTCAGGAACCTCATAGTTTAAATCTGAAAATTCATCTCTTGCTGGTGCATTTTGAGCCATTTTTCTTTTTTTTTTTTTTCAACTTTATTTTATAATTTTTGTATTAAGTACAGAATAATAATAATTTGATTAGCACTGGCCAATGTGGTTCAGTTGGTTGTGCATCGTCCTGTGCACTGAAAGACTGCTGGTTCAATTCCTGGTCAGGGCACATGCCCAAAGTTGCAGGCTCAATCCCTGGTAGGGGCATGCCGGAGGCAGCAATCAGTTTTTCTTTCTCTCTTCCTCTCTCTCTAAAAATCAATATAGCCCTGGCCGGTTTGGCTCAGCGGTTAGAGCGTCGGCCTGCGGTCCTGAGAGACCCGGGTTCAGTTCCCGCTAAGGGCATGTACCTCGGTTGCAGTTTGTCCCCGGCCCTGGTCGGTTGTGCGGGTGGCAGCCACTCGATGCGTCCCTTTCACATCGATGTTTCTCTCTCTCTCTCTGTTCCTCTCCCCCCCCCCCCCCACTCTACCTGAACAAAAAATGGAAAAATGTCCTCGGGTGAGGATAAAAAAATAAAAATAAAAAATAAAAAAATAAATAAAAATCAATATAAATCTTTTTAGAAATAAATTTATCATAAATTTAGAAATGTACTGAGTATAAATAACAAATTTAAGCCCCCTAAATCCTTTACAAATTGAAATAGGGTTTATTACAGCACAATCCAACAGAAATACAATGTAAGCCACAAGTGTAAGTTTAAATTTTCTAGTCCCAACCCTAAAAAGAAACAGGTGAAATTAATTTAAGAATATATTGATTGTATCCAAACCCACAAAATCGTATCAGTCATTCCTAAAGGGACACAAAGCCTAGGGCCAGGTCCAGTAGAGTTCTGGACTAGAGATAAAAGAAGAAGTTGTGCCTGGCTGGTGTGGCTCAGTGGACTGAGCATCATCCCATGGACTGAGAGGTCCCAGTTGAATTCCTGGTCAGGGCACATGCCCAGGTTGTGAGCTCAATCCCCAGTGGGGGGCCCCAAATCTATGTTTCTCTCTCACATCAATGTTTCTATCTCTTGCTCTAAAAAATTAATAAAAACATATATATATTTTTAAAAGTTGTGTTGTTCTACTTACCCTCTGCTGCTTTAGGTGAAATCAGGTTGAAATGAAGATCAAGGCCTGCTCTTTACCAGGACAGAGAAAATTCAAAGGAGGGAGGAGAAAGAGGCTTTTGTGCCTATGACAGAATAGGGTGGGGCAATGGGGTTAAGGATGATTTATACACCTGAGCTTCAAAGAGCCCTTTCTTCTCATCCTCTTTTGCACCTCCAGCTCTTTGGTCACCCATAAGGTGACAGCTGCATTGAGAGCACAGGAGGAGGGTATACATCCTAGGGTAGAGGTGGGAGTGGAGCCTGAATTGGAGCCATAACCAAAGAACAGATCTAATCCCATGGCATTAGGGATTAGATCTCTAATGAAGGGGGTTTTCTTATCTATCCTGGAAAACACAGAGAGCTTTCATTGAATATGTTCATCAAAATGTTGCCAAAGCTTTTGTGTATCAGGATTTCACAGATATATTTAGAAGAAAAAGACATGTCCTCCTACTTCTCAAGAAACATGAAAGCACCAAATTAACTGCCCCCAAATTGCTGGTTCTACTGAAATCTTTAATTTAACCCCAGAAATAAATAGCATAAGGTGTTCTAGTCCAATATTAAGTGTGTATATATTAGAGAGGAAAGTTAGAAAATACTCATGAAAATGTTCTCACGAGAATATTAGCTTATTCACTTTGAGAGGAAGTCAAATAATGATATGTTAAAATTAGTTAATCACTCATAACTGGCAAAAACATTGTCCTCATTTCCTGGATAAACATAACCAACAGAACAATATAAATTCCATTCAAGGACATAACTCCATGGCCATTAACTTTTTTTAGAATATATTTTTATTGATTTTAGAGAGAGGAAGGGAGAGGGAGAAACATTGATAGTCTGCCTCCTGTACATTCCCTATTGGGGATGGAGCCCAGAACCCGGGTATGTGCTCAGCCAAAAATCAAACCCAGTAAACCTTCAGTGCACAGGAGGACGTTCAACCAACTGAGTCACACCGGCCAGGGCCCAATTAACAACTTTTCGTGTCAAAAAACATGCTGTAACCTGTTTTCCTCAATTTCCTTGTTCAGCTTTGACCTGTATGAAATTTGTTATGTGAATGGTGGGTGGTAAGGTCTAAATTTATTGTTCTCCAATTGCTATCCAACAGGCAGGAGAAAAGCAGGTGATGGCAAATATAACGAGACAAAAAGACCAATATCTCCACCTGACCGGTGTGGTTCAATGGATTGAGTGTGTCCCATGAACTGAGTGGTCCCGGTTCCATTCCTGGGCAGCACACATACCCGGGTTGTGGGCTTGATCCCTAGTAGAAGGCGTGCAGGAATGGACAGATCAATGTTTCTATCTCTCTCTCTCCTCCTCTCTCTCTAAAAGATCAATAAAAACATATTTAAAAAAAAAGACAGAAGTAGATGAAAAGCCAGCCAGTACACCCTGGTGCAACAAGATGCCTTTTGGTCAGCTGATGTCAGAGTTTGGTTTGGTGGCCGTGGCACTA